AAATAAAACGCCGCGTAACCCTAAAAAACGCGGCGTACCGAAAAAACAAAACGCCGCGTAACAATAAAAACGCGGCGTAACATCAAAAATAAAACGCGCGTAACACTAAAAAACGCGGCGTGCCGAAAAAATAAAACGCCGCGTAACAATAAAAACGCGGCGTACCGAAAAAAATAAAACGCCGCGTAACAATAAAAACGCGGCGTAACTTTAAAGATAAAACGCCGCGTAACATTAAAAAACGCGGCGTAACATAAAAATAAAACGCGCGTTTTTTTAAAGTTACGCGCGTTTTATTTTTTTGGCACGCACGTTTTATATTTATACAAGTTTTTAGATATATTTATATTATTATTATTTTACCTGAGGGAAAATGGATTATTATAAATAAAAATTGCGCGTCGCATCGAATTTTTTTTCATGTGTAAATTTAGAAGGAAAGTAAATTATTAAAACCCCAGAAAAAAAATTAAATCCGTAGTTAAATTCTGGGGGGGGGAAACTATTATTATTATTATTATTATTATTACTATTATTATTATTCGAATCATTCAAAAGTTCACGGGGAGGAGTAAAAAAAAAATAAAATTTCTTGTGACGCGTGCGCCCACCATCGTGTTCTTTGTGTCCTTTTAAAAGTAATAAAAAATACGGTTATTTTTTGGAAAAATCGTTAATTGCACGACGACACTATTTACATTAAATTATCGTTTGAAATAATAATAATAATAATAATAATAATAATAAAATTCGAGTATTTGTCCCTAAGGAATCGGGTAGAAACCTGGGATAAATGCTTAAAAACTCCGATAAATAAGAGCCTTGTCGTGTTTCAGAGTAACCATAATAATAATAATAATAAATTAATAAAAAATTTTTTAAACGTTTTTTTTTTTTCTCATTCGTCGAAAATTTAAAATTCCTGTGAAAAAAAATAAAATAAAAATAAAGTTTTTAGTGGCTCATTCGTTTTTCTTCAATCACGTCCTCTAACATGTTTTTAAAAATAATAATAATAATAATAATAATAATAATAATAATAATAATAATAATAATAATAATTTTGTTTTAAAAATCACAGGTAAACAATAAAAAAATTAAAGAGTGAAAAAAAAACGAAAAATATAAACTATTGTATATTTCTTTAATTATTAATAAATAATAATAAAAAAAAAATGTTTTTTTTTTATTATTTTTAAAAAAATTTTCCGCACTTAAAATATATATATATATATTTTAAACATATATATATATATAATTAATTTAAAATCCACTTTTATTATTATTATTATTATTATTATTATTTTTCATACAGACTGTGACTCATTTAGAAAAATACAAAAAAAAAAAAAAATGAATTATATCAATTATTAATTATGCTTTCATTATAAAAATTGACTTATAAAAATATATATAAATTTATTATTTATTTATTTGTCGATGATAAACAAATTATAAAACTACAAAAATTCTTTTCTCTCTCTCTCTCTCTCTCTATTCAAATGTTTTAACAATCAACTTTTCATAAATATCATTATTATTATTAATAACAACAACAACAACAACAACTTACTACTTTCATTCGATTCAATTTTTTTTTCCCCCTAACATTGATTAATCTTTATTAATGATATGAATACGATATAAAATTTATGATTTGATATGATTAAAAATAATAATAATAATAATAATAATTAATTTGTCCCTAAGACCTTTTTTTATTTAAATAATAATAATAATAATAACATTTATATCAATCCGTGATACGTATTTTTTTCAACTCCACACATCCGATGAAAATCTTTTTTGTGCTTCCATTTTTTTCAAATATGCCTGAGCCTGTTGTTCCGTCATGTTACCCTTATCAATGAGAACCTTTCGTACTATATCGTTTACGTCTCTAGCCATCGTTCTCGCATCCCTAATAAGATTTTCAAAAAGTGCAATGAAAAACAATGAGCAAAAAACATAATGTCATCCCTCTCTCTTTCGTCTGCTAAAAAATTCTAGAAATTACCCGCATATGTAAAGGTGACCATTATTTTCTCCTATGACCTCCCACAATTCATCCGCGTTTTGTGACAATAAATGCGTGACGTATATTTTTTCAGGTTGATCCCTTGAAAATGCCACGTGCATTTTAAGCGTTCCTGACTCGACGTATTTTTCTAATTCTTCTTTATAAAGAAAATCTTCGGATTTTTTCCTACACCCGAAATACAAAATGGTATCACCGATGGGTTTACCTTTTCGAACGCAAAAAAAAAAAAAAAAAAATTTCGTTATTTATTTTTTCCCTCGAGAACAGGTACCACTCTTGGACGGGCTATAATAAATGTCATTTTAAAAAAAATACCTTCTTCTTTAGCTAAATGTCTCTCTTGAATAAATCCTCTAAATGGAGCTAAACCTGTACCCGGACCTATCATTATAATCGGAGTTTGCATTCGCGTTGGCAACCTGGCAAATAATTTCGTTTTTAATATCATTTATTCGTTTAAACTTTAACCGAAGATTTAACTCACCTGAATTGGGATTTCCTGATGAAAATAGGAGCCGATGGAAATTCTTTTTCTTCTCCTTCTCCTCCAGCCGGTACTAAAGTTTTTAACCAGGACGTCGCGACTCCCTTATTGACTCTATTCGTTGGCGTTTCGTATTGTACGAGTACGGCCGTGACGTGAACGGACGTTGGATACAACTATAAAAAAAATTTAATAAAACATTTCACAATCCTCGCATTCTTTTTAAAAAAAAAAAAATATCTTAATTAATTAACCTTAGCAGAAGATGAAATGGAATAATATCGACATTGTAAACGTGGTAGCAATTCGCATAAGTGATCAATGGCCGGCGTGCAACTGGGTAAATCTTCCAAAATGTGTATTATGTTACGATTATCTTCGATGATCCATTTTTGATAGAGTGCTTTACCTTCGGGAGAAGTGCTTGACATTAATTTGAGCATTTCTTTTTCCTGCAAACAAAAAACAAAACATTAAAAACTTCATTTGATTAATAATAAAAAAAAATTTGCAAATTAAAAACCTTTGGATCCGTTGCATATTCCGAAAGTTCTTTTAAAATGTGTGTTCTCGGATTGCTTGTGATGTCCAAATAATGTCTAAAAGCCGTCCTGTACGAACAAGGACATGGAAATGGATGTTTTTTGCTCGATTCCTCTGTTAAAAAAAAAAAAAAAAATCATCGTTAAAAATTTTTCATCACGATATATAAAATTAAATTTAAAAAAAAAAATTTTCTTACCATCCGTATTGGTTAATGTAAAAACTCGGTCTAAATCGAAATTCAACAGGGATCCAAGTTTTTCTATTAATTCGCTACTGTTGACAGGATAAACGGCTAAATGGTCACCTATGAAGGACGAAAAAAAAACATTATTAGTGGATCCTTCAATTTAACCTTTTTTTTTATGTATTCGTGTGATAATTATTTACCGCTGTCGTATCTCATTTTGGATCCCTCGATATCGAATTCTATGTGCATGCAAGATCTATCTCCACCCGTGTGCAATTCTCTGTTAACTTTTATTTGAGAAAGGAATGGATTTTTTGCATCGTACGGCCTAAAATAAAAACAAAAATTTGAATTTGTTATACGTGAGAACATTCTAAATTAAAAAAAAAAAAAAAAAAATTTTCATTTAAATAAAACAAAATTTACGGTCTTTGGTTTTTCAAAGATTGAAGTCTGGCAACTTCTCCGGTGAAAACTCTTTCCGGATTGTATTCCTCGTGTTCCGTAAGACGATATTGACGTACGCTCACATCCTCACCCGCACCTTCGAGTCCAAAATATTCGCAAACGGCCGGCCAAAACTTATCTTTCCAAGTAATAAAATCATCTTCGATGCTATTAACAAAAAAAAAAAAAAATTTTTTTTATTAAACTTACGTAAGTAAACGATTCAATTTATAATAAAAAAAAAAAAAATAATAATAATAATAATAATTTATACTTTGCATCGTCATCTCCCAATCCGAGTTCGAAAACTCTCGTTGCTCCCAATTCTTCTAATCTTTTATCCACATAAATGGCGACTTCGTTATAATGTTCGTATGTTTTATTACCTAAACCGAACACCTGATAAAAGATACAAACAAATAATAATAATAATAATAATAATTAATCGATTATGTAAGTTTCTTTAAAAAAAAATTGTTTAAATAAATAAATAAATAAATAAATAAATAAATAATACAACAAACAAAAATTTAAAAGTGAAAAAAAAACTTTGATTTTATTATTTAAAATTCGTAAGAGCATTACGTAAGGGAGAAAGTTTTCTTTTTCTACATTTAATAATAATAATAATAATATTTTAGCAAAAAAAAAAACCGTCAGGAAAAGTGTTACAAATTATCGAGGATAATAATAATAATAAACGATTTAATTTTCCTTGTCAGCCCCCCCCCCAAAAAAAAAAAAAAAAACATTATTTAAACTCGGAAACGTTTTAATGAACGAAACATTTTTAAAATTTTTTTATTTTTTTTTTTTTTTACCGAAGAAAGAAAAAGAAAACTCGAGAAGTAAAGAAAATAATGATAATAATAATAGTAGTTTCGAATTCAAAAAAAAAAAAAAAAATTTTTTTCCCCGTTATTTTGAATTGATCAAATAAGCAACGACCTAGTTAAACAATCATATTATCCAATATTAGAATTGCATTTAAACTGTTTTTTTTTTTTTTTTTTTTTTTTTTAAAGGGAACAACAACAACAACAACAACCACAAACAATTTATTTCGATTTGACTTACGGCATAATTTAATCCCGTCAAATCGATATCCGAATGTAGCCATTCGTAAAATTCCATAGCATTATCCGTTGGATCCCCCTCGCCGTATGTTGCGAGGCAAAAAACTGCCAAAGAATTCGGGATATCTCTTAAATTGACCAATTCTTCCTGAAATAAAAAAAAAAAGTTCAAAGGTAGTCATCCGTTTAATTCGGTTAAATTATTTTCCATTTTCGTGGAAAATTAAACTTTTCCACGCAAAAAAAAAAAAAGTAAAAATGCAAATTAAGTATAAAACCCTAATTATGCACAACTATGATGAGTTAATAATTAAAAAAAAGTCAAACATTAATATTAATTCGATTAACGTTTTCTACTTAACAGTACACCAATTAAATTTTTAAAAAGTAATAATAATAATAATAATATTATATGATCAATCGACAAACTCCTTTTAAAACGATTTGATTATAAAATTTAGGGGGAGAGACGCGTCTAAATTATTACCAAAGACTAATAATCGGAATAAATGAATTTTAAAATTTTAAAAACGAAATCGATTTCGATATTTAAAAAAAAAAAAAAAAACCGTCAATGACCTAAATGTTAAAAGACAAGACAATTGAATAATTTATTATGTTTATTACCATATCGTATTCTTCGGGATCTGCAACCATTCCTTTCATCCTATATCTTATTCCCTCTTTTGCCAATCGTCCGGCAAATTCTTCACCCGTTCCCGTTTGACTCCCATAGAAAGCGACAAGACTTCTTCCGGATGATTTGAGTTTTTGTATAAACGAATTGTCTGAGGATTGAGTGCCCAAAGACGAGGGTCTAAAAAAAAAAAAAAAAAAAAAATTTTTACCATCGAGAATTGTTTGTTTTCCCCCTCCCCCTCCCCCCGTGTAAACACTTACTGTATCGTATATGATTTCGTTTGTGTTAATTCCGGCTTCTTCCAGTCTTTGAGCAACCACCAAGCTCCAACTCCGATTAAAGCTAAGAAAAGAATTATGTCAAGAACTCCAAATATGGGTTCTTCTTTGAGTACTTCCGCTCCTGTTTCCGCTTCGACTTGCATTATCGTATTCTAAAACAATTTAAATTTTTTTTCGGGTAATAAAAAATCATGAGAAGAAGAGCGAGTTATTATCATTATTATTAATATAACTCGTTAAAACAATTACAGAACAAATAAATAAATAAATAAATAAATAAATTTGCAAACATTTCAAAGTACTTTTTATGCAATTGAAATTAAAAAAAAAAAAAAAAAACTCATAAATTAAAATTAACGAATCGTTTTTAATTACACGATTAAGGACGATTCCTCGTGTAATTTTCAATTTAAATTAAAGAGAGAGAGGGGAGAGAGAGAGAGAGAGAGAGAGAGAGAGAGAGAGAAAGAAAGAAATAGTAAACAAATCGAATTAATTAAAAAAATTTCACTCGATGTAACATGGTATCATTGTTTTTTTTTTTTTTTTTTTTTTTTCGAAAAAAAAATTTTAAACTAATTACATAATCGGGGTTTAGTTCAAAGTGCCCCCCAAAGAAATTTACCAAGGCTGATTTAATTATTATTATTATTATTATTACAATTTTTTTCATGGTCGATATCAAAGTAAGAAACGAAAAAAAAACTGTCACACACAATTTTCAATGACTTTTAAATACGATTGTCCCATCCATATCTTCTTACATACATTCTTCCATTCTACTTTAAATAATTTAACATTGGCATATAATAATTGTGGGGGGGGAGGGGGAAAACTCCCGAGATTCTACAGCACGAAAAAAAAAAGAAAAAACCTACAGCAAAAAACAAATCAAGACAATCAAATAAATGATAATAATGATAAAATTTAAATATAAAAACCAAACACGAGAACAGATAAAAGCAAAAAAAAAAAAAAATTTACTATAGCACTCAACACAAACTTTTCTTTTCTTTGCTTTTCTTTTTTTTTTTTTTTCATAAATAAACAAAAAAAAAAACTTACGACACTTTTATTATACATAACTTGGAAATTATTATTTATTAAAACGGTTTTATTAAATAAATATTTTTGGCAATCGATCGGTGATACGTCACAACCAGAATTAATTTCCATCATTTTCCAAAAAAAAAAACTTTTTCGACTTCCTTACACGATTTTCCTTTACGTAACTTAATCCGCAACCTTTTTTTTCCTCCCCCCCCTGCTTTTCTATTTCGATGCACGAGAAACAAAAATTTTTTTTCTTTTTCACTTCCCCCCTTTTTCTATTCTAAAATAAATCGCACTCAATCAATTCACGATGAAAACGAATTTTAAATGGTTTTTTTTTTTTTTTTTTTACTTTTGTTACGTTTGTGTTAATATTTTTTTTTGATGTCAATAAAATTTCACCAAGTTCACGGTCATTCATGTGTGTGTGTGTGACGTCAATAAATTTTTTTTTTTTTTTTCAACGGTCATTTACAAACCGTCATCATTTTTTTTTTTTTTAAAACAACATCGAAGTTTATATTTATCGACGTAGGGTGACATGTTTTTAAAAATTTTCCTAGCAAAAAAAAAAAAAAAAAAAGAGGAAAAATTCATGCTTGAAAGATTTACACCAAACCTTTAAATTTCCCCTAAAATTTTCCTCTTTTTTCTACATTATTAGAACATCGATATTATTATTATTATTATTATTCCTATTAGCATTACAAAAAAATTGAATTTCTAAAAATTAAAATAAAAAAAAAAAAAAAGAAAAAAAAAAAAGAAAATTGGAAAACTTTTAAATTATTAAATTGTTTATGAGGTTTAATAAGTGAAACATTATTACGTAATAAAACGTCGTAAATGGAAAAAGTGTTTTTTTGTTAGTTTGTTGGCTGTAAAATCGCGATAACTTTCTTATTACAAATAATAATAATAATAATAATAATAATAATAATAATAATAATAATAATAACGAATAATAATAATAAGTTAATACGTAACAAGAAGATGAACAAAACAAAATGAAAAATTTACAATAATAAAAATAATAATAAAAATTATTTCAGTTTTTCGACCCTTGTAAAAAACGAAACAAAACGATAATAAATCATCATTAATAATATAATTAATAATAATAATAATAATAATAATAATAATAATAATAATGAAAGTCATCAGTTTTAACGTTACGCGATTTTTTATAAAATATAAAAAAAAAAAAAAAAAAAAAAATGAATTGTTACGTTTTTTATTAGGTCAATAATATTTACTCACTTTTACAAATATATATAATTCGACATTTTTTTTTTTTTGTTTTTTAAATTGATATTAAAAACAAAACAAACAAATAACAATAATTATTTATTTATTTATTTATTTACTCTTATTTTTTTTTTTTTTTTGAAAAAATTATTTAGTTCATTACGTTAAAATAAAAATAATAATTATTATTATTAGATTTAATTTAT